ATGATTTATGTGTTGCTAATTTTCGTTCAATTGTGAGAAACCTTTTTTCGGCCATTGCCTTGGAGTTACCGAGTGCTGTTGGATGTTGCTTAAAAGGTAGTCGAACAACAAACCTTCCTGTTGAATCACGACTTACAGTTTTCTGAAACTGACTCTCAGCAGCTTCTTCTTCCTTTACTTGACTGGCAATTTTTTTACTGAATAATGACGTAACTGGTAATGACTTCAAACTTAATGCTGACTTATTATTGATTTGATTGATCTCACTAGAATGCTACACCGGTAAATGTCCCGTTATTATCCATCTTAATTTAGTTTCATAGGCGAATGCTCGGTCTCCAATGACGACTGAAGTACCAGAGAATAGTTCAAAGAAAATATCTGCACCAATGAGTAGTTCTATCGTCCCTGGAGTCACGTAGCTCGGATCTGCTAAACACTCATTAATAGAATTTGGAATATGAACACAGCTACGGTTGATTTGTCTGGATGGCATCTTGCTCGAGATTAAAGGAAGTACATAGAAGTTGATAGTTTCACTAAAATCACCAAATTGTGATATCATTATAACAGGCTCCAACTTCTGCGTGTTGGTTTTTATTGTGTTGATTCTTGATATGGGTATGTGACAATTGGTTGTTGATAATCGAAGACGCTTAGCACAAGAACTGGTAATAAAACTGACTTGCGACCCTGAATCCAACAACGCTCTACACTGGTGACGTTGTCCTTTGCTGTCATTCAAGTAGACTATAGCTGTTGCCAGCATCACTTGATCTTCATTTGCATTAGTTGCATGTAGGCTTGTCTTATTAGTACAAAGAGTAGATTGAGTTGGTTGGACTGAAGTCTCTTGGATTCGAGTTTCATTTGTAACATTGTCTAAGTGTAATTTAGAATTGTGACGAGCTCCACACTTAGGACACGCTGCGAACTTACACTGACGACATTGATGATTAGATGCTAAACACAGGTAACACAATTGCTTACTGCGAACAAAATCTCTGCGTTCAGGAACTGACAAGTTATTGAACTTAGTGCATGCATATAATTTATGTGATTCATTACACAAGAGGCATAATGAGGAAAACTTAGGATTGTCAAATTGTTTGACAAAAAACGCTTTCCTTTCTTGATACTTGGTGTTAGCTCGTGAGATAGGTTTCTTGTATAATAACTCTGCGTTGATTTATCCGGCTTCATAGGCAGCGATGCGGTTAAATAAAAATGATTCTATGGCTCGAAATGTAGGCAAGTCTTTTTTGTTATATTGCAGCTGCCACTCATCGACCGTAGCGCTGTCCATTCGATTGCAGACCAGTGTCACTAACCATGCATCCCAGAACTCTACTGGCTGCTCTAATGCCTTAAGAGCATTAACGTTAGACATGATGTGATGGTGCAATTTTTGTAACTCCATAGCTGATGCCGTTTGAACCTTTGGCGTTTCAAATAACGATTTAACATAAGACTGTATGATCGCTCCTTTGTTTTCATAACAGTTGATGAGAGTGTTGTAGGCTTGCATATAATTGTCACCTGTTGTAGGTATCGAACTTATAACATCTTTAGCTTGACCCTCAAGGCAGCTCTTTAAATAATGCAATCGTTGCACTGGAGCAAGACTACTATTATTATGAAACATTGCATTGAATGTGTCAATGAATGATGTCCACCCTTGCCAATCACACTGAATTTTGGCGCATGAATTGCTGGTAATTTCATTGAACATCCAGGATTATTTTTACTACTGCTACTCATTGAAGGACTAGACTCGTATTGTTTGTCTTCTATAATTTGCAGTAATGAAGCCTTAATCTCATACAACTTATTCTTGAAGTCTACTCGTTCTCTAATTGCATCCTCATCACCTTTTTCTTCGAACTCCTCAATTTCTGTCTGATGTACTTCAAATCTTTCCGCGATTTCCGATAGAGCTTCTATTCGTATGCGCACTTCATTGACATTATTAACTTCATTGGTATAGTTGTTGGCAAACGCTAATATTGATGCTAGTTCATTGTGGACAATTCTCAATTTTCTTGTTGCCAACCTCTTTGCCTTCTCCTCGACGGCCATGATTGCTATACAAAAAAAAATAATGCAGAGTGCTTATGTCACAAAAAAAAAAAAAAATTAAAATTGATTATACAAATACCAAATTACAATGCTGCGATTTTAACTATCACTTAGAAAATAATATCCGGCCCGAAGGACCAAAAATGTTAGCGCTTGAAGTGCTCTCAATAGTTTTAA